GTCTACGTTCTAGTGGAGCACAACTATGCTTTTAAAAGATCTCGTCAGTAGTGGCATACCTATGTTGAAGGCTGAATATACTCTCAAAGTGATGCCAAACTTGCCGAGCCATGGCTGAGTTGAAGAAAAGGTGCTCATACAATTTTCTTTAATGCTCCTAACAACAATGGCATATAGAAACAAGAGGAATCTGTAATAGCTGAATATTATAATCAAGAGGAAGTGTATGATAAATCCACTTCTAAATGAATCCACTCACCCTAATAGGAATGTTAGAAGACCAAACCTTCATGCGCCACTTTTAAACGAAGTTCACATCTTCTGAAGTGATTATTTTCTTTCATTAAAATCTTGATAATTTGGTGTCATATCAAAAATAAGATTGATACTCTTATAGTGATCATCAGAATTATTATGGGTTCTTTTATGTTGACCTAAATTAAAAAGACTTTAAAATAAAACATAAAATAATACATAATGTTTAAAATAAATTTTCATTCATTGATGAAAAAAAATGTTTTGGATTAAAATTCTTCCTTCATATATGATATTCACATAGGAATTCAACTCTTGAGGATCATAGCACGAGCCGTAGCAACATTATATTAGTAGAGAACAAATCTATTAGTGTACTTAATTACAACTTACTTTAATTGTTGCCTATCAATTAATGACTATAATCTATTGCCTGATAAGTTTTAGAAGTGCTGAAACTTGAGAGAGCTCTCTTGCTTCTTGCAAGTGTTGTTAAGTTGATTGTTGATTTTTACGTGTTGTGTTATTGTGTTCCCCCTTTATTGTAGCTGGTATTTATAGGTTATTGACTCCTCCATGATCTTTTGTAATGCTCTATTATCCTTAGTAGTACTCTATTATCCTTAGTAGTACTCCACGTTTTGTTGTGACTTTCTATTCTTATACAGCAATACTTCATTATCTTAATCATGTCTTATTTTTTTATGTAACTAATTTTTTTCCCTAACGATTAGCAAGTATAGTCTATATAATTATCTTATTATAACTAACTCCCTTGCTTATTAGAAACTCCGGAAGAAGAGTATAATAGAATCCTATATTAAGATTATCAACAGTTATACAGTTAATGTTATTTGTTAACAATGACCACGTCACAAATCACTAATTGCAAAAAAAGGAGTCCATAGATTATCAGATAAGATAATAATCCAATTGTTTATTATGCAACAGATTTTAGTATACTTTCCATGTAACAACTATATATGCTAATAGTAATTTATTCCATATGGCAGCTGTTCAGCATTTGTATGCATATGCATGTCCTTCTCTCTAAAATGATAGTGCTTCTCAATATTCTTTGATATTTTTAAGAGTTAAAACAGATTAATCGTATTTTTGGCTTTTTTTTGTTCACCTTTTTTTTTTCCTTACTTCAGTTTGTTCCCTCGATTTAATTTTTTTCTTTTAGTTTTTTTTCTTTTTTCCTAACAATATATAAAAATAATGGATACATGTCTTAGCACATGTCAAACTAAAGACAAAAATTTAAAGATATATTTGATAAAAATAGGATAGAAGGATCGAATAAAAAAAGTAGGTAAAGAAATATATATATAGAGAGAGAGAGAGATTAAGAACATACGGATCAAGTATACAATTAATCCAAGTTAAGAGGGAGGAACATATATTAAATTGTGGGGATTTGGTGGAGAAATAGAAATCGTTAGTTGATTTAAGGTTTTTGTTATTTGTTTCTTTTTGCTGTTTTTATTCTCCAATATGCTCATATGATGAGGTCACAATCATGAATTCGCGATGGTCGCTGAATATACGCCATTAATATAATTGACCTAATCACAGCCTGTCTATAGAGCCCCTAATTAAATGAGAGTTATGTCATCGCATTTGAGGCAATAAAAACAAGTCAACCAACTTATTTGTTAATATTTCAAAATTTGCAATTCCAATTATGACGTTAAAAGCCCTAACAGCCACATGTGAGAATCATCTACGTAGGCCCTTTTTTCCCATCGCTATCATTTGGTAGGATAATTTTGCATTTTTTAAATTCATGTGATAACGGAAAAACACAAGCTCAAGCTCTATGGGTCTGTCTCTGTAATATTCTAGTAAAAGGATGGAAAAATATCAATTGTAATAGAATTATCTTACCACTAAAAAATTGTTTTGAAAAAGGATAAATTAATCCGAAAATATTCTTTTTAATATTAAAAAAAGACTGCATTATCTGATCTCAAAACTGTTAAAAACAGGAAATACGATAGCTTTCTTAAAAATCCAGAGTAGAGAAAACGACACCGAGGCATGGTTCCGAGAGGATAACTCGGCCACTCCTTTCTGTGTTATATCATGTATGGATTCTTGTTACAAAGCATCTCTCTTACATCATAATCGAATAAAAAGTGAGATAAAAATTGTTCTTTTTTTTCATTAATAAATTTTATACATCAATCAAAATTAAATTATTTAAAAAAAATTAAAATTCATATAAAATTTGATGTATTTAAAAGATTAAATTATTTCCTCATAATAGTCCTAAATTGTAAAGTAAGGGAGGAAGACCTGCTAATACCCGTGGGGTTGGAACGTTGTCATGTTGTGGAGTTCTTTCTTCTTCTTGATGTTATTATAGTAACATGCAAACTTTAATCATGTCATTTGTCAGCGCCTTCAATTAGACAGCAACCTTTTTCTTTTTGGTTTTTTCTCCCACGGGAAAAGTAGAGGGCAGATACCTTCATTTTTTATCATTTTCTCACTGCTAATACCATTAGCAAATAATAAGTGGTTGCTTAAAATAGTACTAATTTCACAAAAAAGAAAAAAGAGATGAAAAGGGACAATTAATAATACTATAGATTAACGGTGAGTATTTATTTGTTACAATGATTTCAAATAATGGATTGTTTCAATTTTTTTTTAACTTCAAAATAAATAAAGTGCTTCTGGTGATTCAATATATATATATATATATAAATAAAAGTGATTTTACGTAAAAAAAACAATGACTAGAACTCTGCATACAAAAATATAGTACTATTAATATGCAGAAAACAATAGCCTTTAAATGTGCACCCGTATGATATCTTCAAGGAAAACTTAATAAGCACCGAAGAACCGTTTTTTTTTTTTTTTTCTTTTGGAAGAAATTTAAGCACCCAAGAAAACTGTGCTCTTACCTTTACCTTGCCCCAACAATACAAATAAAGCTGTACCAGCTGGCGTCTAATTATGTGGGACCCTCTGGTCTGTATAGCTGCATTTCCCAACCTAAGAGGAGTGATGCCAAATACTTGGCTTTGGGAACATTTTTGTGCTACGAAAGTTAAGGGTGCCACACAAATGTGAGGGGAAAGACAGCAATTGCGCTAGTGGTGGTGGTGGTTGTCGTCTTTATACGAGTTTTTTATTACACTAATAGTCATTCTACACTAACCATTCCATCTTATCTCATCTCATGTGAAAACAGTTTTGGTGAAGGCGTAGTCCAGATGATCCATGCTGAGAAAAAGTTGGTGAAGACAAGGAGGAAAGAAAGGAGTAATTTGCAATTTTTCTCAAGAAACGCGTATGAGAGAGAGAGAGAGAGAGAGAGAGAGAGAGAGAGAGTGAGAGGGAGGTCTACAACGCTGGCCAACTTACCATATGATATAATAATGATGCACACCTAAAAGAAACAATCTGAAAAGAGAGATTTCCAATTTGACTCCGCTTTTCATGATCATATGTTCACATATAGTATCGCAAAAGACGATCCACATTCCAGAGTCCAATAACCACAGTTTGAACAAGAGGTTAATAATTTCAAAAGTCGCATAAAAGGGAAAGGATTATGGAATGCACATGGGGGGCATTGGACTATATCCCAAACAGTCTTAATCTAATGAACAAAAAGAAAAGGAAATCAAAGGAGTTAATCCTGCACCACCAATCAAGGGGGATTGGGATTGCCATTTTGGTCCCACCAAAGAAGGGAATGGGATCAATTAGAACCTGCAGCAGCTAGCTGCTAGCCTCAATAGAAAATTGAAGTTGTTGATTGAAAACAACACGAAACAAATAGATGGCCCCTAATTCACTTAAAATAACACCCACAATGTCAAAGTCAGGAATCGTTTTTTCCCTGCATAAGCTGGAAATTGGTTGTCATGTCCCACCGATATTATATATCTAGCAACCAATTGGCATTTCTAGATGAATAGGAGGGAGGACTAAAACTGAAACTGAAACCGAAACGCATAGATTGAATTCCCAGAAAGGTCAACCAGTCAAATACAAACCCGTTAGCTAATTAAACTGCATCTAAACAAATGAGATGCTTGTATTGCATCATCAGGAAAGCTTCCGCAGCTGGACAGTTATATCCTGGCAAGATCTATTATATGACAAATTAGGCAAAGGATATGAAGACGATCAAACAAAAATACTAACCGGTACGCACAATGGACATGAAATGATAATTGTGCAGATGTAAGCTTCAATCTCACAACAGAAAACAAACAATAACATCGTACAAGTGAAATGTTCATGATTATACTATAAATTGGAAAGAAATATAAGGAAATAAGTATGATAAAAAAATAAGAGAAAAAAAAACCCCACAAACCAGCAGCATTGCTAACTAGCCCTGATTATGGTCTCCATTCCATCCCTATACATACAACTTGCTCTGCAACCTACTGATCTTTCTCTGCCATTTTTATTTCGCAACTCAAATATTTCATAACAATTCAAATAAATATGGAGAGAATTTCTCCTCTTACCTCTCTTAATCTTTCTCTGCTTCACTGCTCTAACAATGATCAATAACAATAATGCAATAAATCTGACTGAAAGATCGTCTTCCGGAGATGGTTCGATCACGAAAAATACTAAGACCCTTTCTCAATTTTCTCTTAAAGAGCGACGAGAATTGCCCACAAGAGGAAAAATGAAGCAATGAGGACGAATTCCATAGTATTTCTTTCCTTATGAAAGGTTAGAGGAGGAAATTCTCAAAAGAATCAATAGAAGGGTGGTGGTGGAGGTGAAGCGTAAGATACCCCTGTGACTGGTGGTAATGGCCCCCCATACACCGGAGTCGGAGGTGGCGGACTTCCATATATAATCGGTGGAGGTGGTGGTGGAGATAGCGGTGAAGGTGGGGGAGGGTTTTCGCATGGAATTGGCGGTGGAGGTGATGGTGGTGGAGGAGAATGGTAGTAAACTGGAGGTGGTGGTGGTGATGTTGGAGGAGGTGAGTGGTAGTGAACTGGAGGTGGGGGAGGTGAATGGTATTGCATTGGAGGTGGTGGAGGTGATGCGTACATCACTGGTGGTGGTGGAGGTGATGGTGATGGTGGTGGCTTGTAATGTACTGGTGGAGGCGGTGATGGAGAAGGTGGAGGTGGAGGTGGTGAATACTCCACACATGGTGGTGGGGGAGGTGGAGGTGGTTCTATACAAGGTTGGGGTGATGGGGGTGGTGGTGAAAAAACTGGGGGAGGTGGAGAATTGACAGGAGGTGGTGGTGGAGGTGACAAGTAAGGATAAATAGGTGGTGGAGGCGAGTGTGGAGGTGGAGGTGGTGAGTGTGGCGGTGATGGGGGTGGTGGGGAGTTGTAATAGTAAGGAGCAGGTGGTGGTGGAGAGAATAATGGAGGTGGAGGCGGTGGTGGGGGGCGTATACATGGAGGTAATGGAGAGGGCGGTGGTGGTGATGGTGGAGGAGGTGAAGGTGGTGGGGGTGACGGTGGAGGAGGAGATAAAGATGGTGGTGGTGGTGGTGGTGGTGAGGGTGGGGGAGGTGATGGAGGAGGCGGTGGTGGTGAATACACTGGTGGTGGTGGTGGAGGTGGAGAAGGTGGCGGGGGCGATGGAGGAGGCGGAGGTGGAGAGTACACTGGTGGTGGGGGTGAATATACTGGGGGTGGTGGTGAAAGAGGAGGTGGTGAGGGTGAAGGTGGTGGAGGTGGTGGTGAGTAAACTGGTGGTGGAGGAGGTGGTGGTGACTGCGGAAAAACAACCGGTGGTGGAGGTGAAAATACTGGCACTGGGGGTGAAGGTGGAGGAGGAGCAGGCAAAGATGGAACAAAAGGAGCACATCTAAACGAGCTACAATCAACAGGCCTAGACAAAAATGCCTTACATTGTGCTGCAGATCTCTGAACTGGTCTTCCTGGCAAACAATTCCTCCTGTCACTGAAATCCGGCAGCCTCAAGCACACTGGTGGCTCCCCAGTGAAGAAGTTATAAGAGAAGGTGAAGTTCTCCAAATTCGGCAACTGACAAATACTTGCTGGAATCTTCCCAGAGAACATGTTGTGAGCTACATTGAGCTGTTCGAGACTTACCATCCCGCCGATTGTGTCTGGTAATGGACCCATTAATTGATTGAAGCTAACATCCAGCACTGTCAGGTTTTTAAGCAAACCTACCTCTACAGGCAAGCAAGATCTAAACCCATTGTTCATGAGGATGATTTCATTGAGATTTGACATGTTACCTAAGCTCGACGGCACACATCCATGGAACTTGTTGTTCGCCAAAACGATGACTGATACTGGGGAGTTGCCAAAGTTTTCAGGCAGATCGAAAACGAACCTGTTGTGATTGATAAAGATTGCATCCAAGTCCTTGTCAAATAGCTCTTTTGGTACACTACCCTCAAATTCGTTGAATCTCAGATCCAAGAATTTGACTGAAGGTAGCTTGAGCACAACTTGTGGAAATTTCCCAGCAAACCTGTTGTTGCTAAGATCCAGTTCAAACAGTAGCCTCAAGTTCTTGAACTTGTGGGGTATAGTCCCACAAAACCTGTTGGAATTGATGTGAAACAATGCAAGATCCACCAGCAAGCCAAGCTCCTCTGGCAAGTAGCCGGCGATGTCACCGTGGTTGAGATCAATGCCGGCGACTGTACGGATTGTTTTGTTGTCTGGAGCTGGAGCACAGAAAACCCCCTCATAGTTGCAGACTTGAGATCCAACCCAGTTGGCTGTTAGATTTAGAGGGTCTGAGAAAATGGCTTGTTTCCAAGCTTGTAATGCTATGTAAGCATTTCTAAGTCTTGGATTCTCGAAAACTAGAGTTGGGTCTACTGTGACTCTCTCTCCTCGGTCACCAAACTCATCTTTGTAGTAAAGAAGCTGCCGCTTCTTGATGAACATAGCCTCAGCATCACTGAGGCCTCCATAGCTGGAGATGGTTGGGGTTTGCTTAGCAGCAGAGAGGCACACTACTGTGCCAAGAAACAAGGCAATGAGAAGAAAGAGATGAAGGAACTGGATCTTATTCTTCATCTCACATGAGACATCTGATTTACCAAATGCCACTTTTCTGTTCTTTTAGCTCGTATTTTTCCTACCTCTAGAGTCCAGCGAGGGGCGGCAGCATGAAGAGAGTGAGTCGAACAGCGAGTTGGCAAGTTATGGTCTTGATGCATTGTTTTCTTGGTTTTTAATGGACTTGGTGCGGATGGCCAAGGGTTTTGGACTTTGTTACAGCTCACGTCTTTTTATTATTCAACACGCTTTTTTTTTCTTTTTAGTTTTCTTTTTTATTTAAATTGGGATTTTTAAAACAAAAATAAAAAAAATGCTTTTTTTAACGGCCTGAAAGCTGTTTTTGTTTTTTTAATTATTGTATTAGTGCAGTACAGTACATCTGAGTATTTTCTCTTTCTAAAAAAATATCTCTCTTTTGGCTTTTAATACAATATAACAAAGTTATCAATTATTATATTATATGAGTATTTTTTATTCATATTTTCATAAAACATATTTGTGTGTTAAAATTATTAATTATCAAATTTAACCATTCATTAAATAAAATCAATATTAATTTAAGGAAAAATCTATCTAAAATTAAGATAATAAAAAAAATAAGTTAAATAACAATTAAATTTAAAATAATTATTAAAAATAATATTCTAATAAAAATATTTTATTCTGAAAATTCCAACATAAAGTAAGTTTATGTAAGAACAAATATTTTTTATATAAAAATTTTCTTTAAAATTTTTGTATTAAAGATATTTGTATGTATTAAAAAAAAGTAAAAAAAATATTGATTTTTTATCAATTAAAAGTATTTAAAATATATATATTATTTAAAACTTTAACTAGGTAAATATTTTGAGATAGATATTAAAAAAAGAAAAAAGAAAAAGCAATCCTTTTAAAATAGAAAAAAATACTATTTATGCCACGGCTTTTATTTTTGTGATTTTACTATTGTCATTGATTATTAGATTTTTGGAGTAAATCATAAATGATTTCCTTTAGCTTTGAGAAACAAATTAATTAATTTTTTAAAATTATTTATTTATTTTTTAATCTTATACTTTTTTAATTTGTTCAAAAAAATATTATAAAAATTAAAATCAAATAATATTAAATCAAATATGATAAAAATTAAATAATTATTTTTTGAATTAAAAGATTTTTTTAAAAGTAAATGCTATGCAGTTTGAAATCTGAAATATAAAATGTTACAAAAAAAAATATTAAGGGGAGAGAGAGTTGGGGGTGGCGTGGTCCCTAGGTATTGTGGAGGTGTGTATGAAATAAATAAATAAATAAAAAGTAATGCATCAAAGGACAGCTAAATCACAGCTCAAAGCCCAACAGATTCTCTCACCTTTTTTTTTTTTTTTTTTTCTCCCAAAATCCACTCTCTCATCTCATCATATGCCACTTTTTGGTGTGCCCTTTCTCCCCCGTTAGAAGGTGACTTTATTCTTTATTTTGAAATTACATTTCTAGTTTATCTTTCTTCTTAATTTTATTTTTTTCAATAATTACAAAGCAGTGGTTTGAATTTGTGAATTAAACTACAACTTCAATAAAGTATAAGCATGTTAAAACAGTACAAACCCTAGTTGTCAGACTAGTTTGAAACGTGATCGTGCCAAGATTTTGGGTTTTTGGATTTTAAATTGATAATCGAGTACATATATTATGCAATTTTAATTTTATGACATTTTTTTACTATGACATTCCGCATAATTATGACAGAGAAAAAGCCATCTCCTATTAATTTATTTTTTATCAATTATTTTGACCTTTTTTTTTAATAATACTTCATTATAGTTTATAAATAATAATATATTATCCACAACTTGATTCATAAATGTAAATATAGCCAGATGATATTGTTTTTTTAGTCTAACTACTCATGAACTTTAACTTATTTGAAATTGAGTTTTTTTAATTTTTTATTGATTTTAAGGATGTCTCAATTTTTAATTTTTTGAAATATCGTTTATTTTTTAATTTTTTATCATTTATTTCAAAAAATACGATCATATAAATAATTTTACGATAGAAATTATTTAGTAATATTTATTTAGAGCTCCTCAACAAAAAAAAAAAGATTATTTCAAAATTATTTTTTATTTTCTCTATTTTTTATATTTTTAATATTAAAAAAATAAACAAAACAAAACTAGTCTTTTTTATTATAAAAAATTCTAAATTTTTTTTTATAAAATGGATTGCATTTTTTTTCAACCTATGTGTAAAATTTCAACTCATAATACTAAGAGTTGAATTTTTTAAAGATAAAAATGATAAGTGAAAACTAGTAGAACTAAAATTAATAAGTCCAGGCAATTAACTTCATACAAATTAAAGTTTAGGAGATCTTTTTAACTTTTTTTTAAGATTCCTACCCACTTTGTTTATCAGCATCACTTCTTATTCCTTATTTGAAAGCTCTCCAAGCAACAGCTGGAACCAACATATAATCTATGACTTCATCAATTACTCGTAATTGTGTTCATTTTTTAAAAAATGTAGTTAGAATGCAAAAGAAGAAGCTTCTTTAATGACAAGTCGGTGGCTCTTGATTCCGGCGGAGTTGACCGCTATGAGGGAGAGCAGGTGACGGCAATTTCCCGGTTATAAGATGATATCATGAGATGGATATGAAATGTTAACGAGATTTTGGTAATTTGAACGAGTGGCTGCCGCTGTGGCAGAGGATGCGATCCACTCCTTTTTAAGGCCGGATTAAATATTTATTCTAGTTTTTCTATTTTAATTTGAGTAAATTATAAATTAGTCCTTCTATTTTTATTAAAAAATAATCCCTCTTGTTTGAAAAATTAACTAATTAGTCACTAGATCAATACTGATCATACTTAATTTAATTTTTAAATTGTTAAAATAAAAATAACTTCTTTTATCATAAAATTTCCATAAGATCTATTTAGTTTTTTTTTATCTTTTTAATTTTTCAAAATTCAAAAAAATAAATAAATTGAAAAATGCTATAAAATGAATGAAATGAGTGAATTAATTAGTTTTGAAACTAGAGTGATTATTTAATTTGTTTTACAAAACTAAAAGAACTAAATTATAATTTACTCTTTTAATGTCTATGCCTATATGCTTTATTTTTATTTATTTATTTTTGCTATTAAATTTCTAAACTTTGAATCTTCATTGTTCTTTCAATTAAGTGTTCGTATATTCACTGTTCATTCAATTAAGTAATTCTATTAATATTTAATATTATTTGAATAGGAATATATATTTATCAAGGAATTACAATTTTTTACTCTGAAGGAACATGAAAAATTCTACAATGCCTCAAATCAAAAAGGAACATATCAAAACGACTAGTTGAGAGTTTGAAATATAGTTAAGTCACTATTGATGTCAGGAAGATAGTTAAAATTCAACTGCAAGAAAAGTACTCCCTTTGGTATATAATTTCTAATGCAAAGTCCAAATTGCTGTTTGATTGGTAAGAGTTAAATTGTAGCTAAAAGTTGTTACACGGTTAGACTATTAGGTTTTTTAAAAAAAAAAAAAAAAATCATAAAGAATCGAGAAAAGTAAAAGGGATATTTGCTTAATCCGTTTTAGATAATAGAGCAATTCTCTAATTGATTTTTTATATTTTTAATTGAGTTAGTTTTATTCTTAAATATATATTAAATTTTTAATATATATTTTTTAGCAAGTTTTTAGGTTAAATTACCGAGTTAATCATGTAAATTTTACATGAAAATCTTTCCTTCATCTAGTTTACAAGGATATTTTGTGAAAAAAAAAAAAAATCTTGTACGAATCATATATATATATATATATATATATATATATATATATATATATATATATATATACATGGAAACTAGAAGATTCTATCTCAAATTTTGGTAAAAGTTCATGTAGACCCTTGTATATTTATAAAGCATTCCATTTGATCCTTCTTCTCGCTCAATTAGTTTAAGTTGAGATAGTTCTGTTTTGTGTTAAATCTATACAATAGGCTTTTTGTGTGCTATGAAATTGCATATGCAAATCTTCATTTTTATTAAATTTTTTTCTTGAAAAAATCACATGTACTGTTTTTATACATGAATCTCTTTTCTTCAAATAAATACTATTTATCTAAATGATTTAGAAATAGATTCAAATAAAACACTCCCCGTCTATTTAAATATGATTGTTGATTTATTTTATCTTTCTTTTTTAATAAAGAAAAGCATTACTTTCCTAAAAAATAATAAAAAGTATTGCAATATTGTCTTAAGATGGAATAATGTTGCCATTATAGTTATAGTACACCATACTAATTTATAATTTTGGATGGAGCTAGTTTTCTTTTAATAGAAAATAGATTTAGTATTTCCATGCCTTTATATTTTCTATTAATATTTATATCAAAAAAAAGTTTTTGGTAACTTTAAGTTGCCCTTCTCCAAAATATATATCTAGAAGATGGAAAAAAAATTATACCAAGCAATTAATCATGGAATAGTAGCCTAGAGGGTATGGTTAAGCTTTTCTCGAGCAATATGTCTAGCACACAAAAAGCAACAAAAAGATACAATTATCAATATGAATAAGGGTTAATGTATCGGAAAATCGAAACTTTACACTTTTTAATGATTTTAGCTCATTCTTTCAATTTTGGATAGAAAAGTCATGAACTAAGCTTTCAATAATAATACTAGTACAAATGAATTTTTTCAGCTTGACTTCGACCAAAGCTAACATGGCGTGTGATGGAGCATGATCGTAGGGCTAACTTTGCCATATAGGATTCTACATAGGATCCACATGGCCTATTAAAAAAAAAAACATAACCAAATTCTTCCTTCTTCTTCTTCTCATCCCCAGTCACCATCCAACCAAAATTCCTCCCCTTTGCCATGTTCATTGGAAACTCACCACCACCACAATCAAACCCATCAAAAAATTATTCATTTTCTAACCCAAAACGATTGAACCAAACCCTTCAAAAACTTAATACTCATATGGATTTCTATGAATACTTAATCTATGAC